CCCATTTATTTTTCCAGTGTGCATATAATATTGATTGAATATAATTTAGAAAACTAAAAGTTCCTTTAATTGGGATCACTGATTTAAGATCAAAAGTAAGATTGTTGAGTTAATGTAAAAGCCTGCAAGTCGAGCAGAAAGAATGTTAAGGAAATTAGTATAAAGGATGTCTTGTTTTCAAGAAATGATTACTCAATATAAGTAGATTATTGAATTGTGCAATTCTTTGATATATTTCATCCATATATACTTAAATGCAGGTGTATGTACAGCTTTCATAGCTCTGCTCTTGCTTTCCTGGCTATACTTAATGTATCATAAAAGGAAACTTATTAAACAAAGAGAAAAATTCTTTCGGCAAAATATATGGTGGTTTCATTTTGCAACAACGACTCTCTACACAACAAGACAACCCCCAAATTGCACAAATTTTTACAGCAGAAGAGCTAAACAAGGCCACAAACAATTATGATGAAAGTTTAATAATTGGCAAAGGAGGTTATGGTACAGTTTTCAAAGGAATCCTTGCAAATAACAAGGTTGTGGCTATAAAAATGTCCAAAATAGTGGACCAGGGCCAAGTTGAGCAATTTATTAATGAGGTGGTTATTCTGTCCCAAATCAATCATAGGAATGTGGTAAAACTCATAGGTTGTTGTTTAGACACTGAAGTCCCGTTATTGGTCTATGAATTTGTTAACAATGGTACCCTTTATCATCATTTGCATGATGAAAATAAGGCAAGTATTGTACCTTGGAAGTGTCGCCTAAGAATAGCCAAAGAGACAGCAAAAGCTTTATCATATTTGCATTCAGATGCTTGCACATCTATTATCCACAGAGATGTCAAAAGTGCTAACATTCTATTGGATGACAATTATACTGCCAAGGTATCTGATTTTGGAGCTTCAAGATTAGTTCCAGTTGACCAAGCAGAGTTAGCCACATTGGTACAAGGAACTTTAGGTTACTTAGACCCAGAGTAAATGCAAACAAGTCGATTAACTCAGAAAAGTGATGTTTATAGTTTTGGAGTAGTGCTTGCAGAGCTACTAACAGGACAAAAAGCACTTTCATTTCAATGGTCAGAAGATGAAAGAAATCTTGCCATGCTTTTTCTTTCTAACTTGCAAAACAAAAGGTTGTTTAAAATTCTTGAATTTGGTCTTATGACTAAAGAAAATAAGAAAGAGATAAATGAAGTTGCTATTCTTGCAAGCAAGTGCTTGAAACTTAAAGCAGAAAAGAGGCCTAGCATGAAGGAAGTGGAAATGGAGCTTGAGGAGATATGGGTAAGAGGGAAGCACCCATCGACTGATACAAACCTTGATTTGGAGGAGTCACAATGCTTGCATGGCAATAGCAGTAGCGATGGAAGTTCTTGGTATGACAATATAATGGGCCAAGTACGGATTGTCTTCATGTTGCACGTTGATTATGGCATGATAACATGTTATATGTTTAAATAAACCTAATAAACTTCCTATTTGAGTTTGTAGCGTTTATCTTTCCTGTATTATTATATCATTAATTTACTTGTTTTATGGTCAATTTGCATTCATTCATTTGTGCAATTAAGTTCATTTTCATATCTTAATATGTACACTTCTAACTTCCTACTTTAAGACTTCATAGGTTCTCTCTCAATCTTATTTATTTTCTTCTTCCAGACTTCCAAAAGGTATTATTTCTTCTTCAAGACTTCGAAATGGTATTATGGGGGTGAGGGTGAGGGTACTATTAAATGCACCAGGTGGCATGAGTTTGCTTGCAGTTGGAAGAAAAGAAGGAAGGATTAGGGACAAAAAAATATTGTCGGCATTTAACATTGTGTGTTACTAAGGAAATGGCCATGGCAAATAAAGAGGGAGAAATAATCATTGTGGTATATGATGTTAAAATATAAGTATGAGAGAGTAGGAAGAAAATAGGAAAAGATGGATAAAAGATGTTCCAATAATGAGTATATATTAATATTTTGGAAAAGGAAGGCCTTATTTTACAATTAAAACGATTTTTACTAGGGGTGATCAATATCTCTGAATTCATTTGCAACATGTGTTATCTGAATTCAGAAAAAGATTTTTAGACGATCGATTTTGGAACTCGAGTTGAATGAAGTAAAAAAAAAAAAAAAAAAAACGATTTAGAATGGGTAATGTCATATGGGTGAGTTAGAAAAATAAAAACCGTGACAACCCGTACCCGACTGAAGAAGTCTTTTTATGTTTAAATTTTATAATAGTAATTCAATATTTCAATCAACTACATTAAGTAATGTGTTGCAGTATGTTTTGTTATATGGAGTAGTATATTTGTATTGAACAATGTGCTAATTTATAATTTTGTTCCAGTGTTAATTTTTTATTTCCCAATCATTGCTTATCTCCTTTGTCCCTTTTCTCTACCACAAAGTTGCATGCATCCCTTCCCTTTGTAGCATTAGTAACCCATTCCCAAATTCTAACTCATCCCTTCATCCTTTCTCAATGCCAACAACTTTCCACCAGCTCTCCACTCTTCCCCTACCCCGCTCCAAATTTATAGCCACTCAAACCACCAATCTCCAACAAATCCAAACAACCGTTACCAAGGCATTTTAATAGAGTGGGCCAAAATATAGATTAGGGCATTGTATTGTCTATTTCTGCAATTACAAACCTTTAAAGGTTTCCTCTTGGCGACATTAATGGAGCTTTTAAGGTTCTAGAAACATCAACCTTATAATACCCAACCGATGAACCCATAATATGCTGCATAAGAAACCCACCTAAACCAAAGGATCAAACGGTCGAGGTCAATCCAGAAAAATTGTTACTCAACTTGCATCAGATGAAGCTTTTTCTTACTCTGAAGCCGACTGATGCTCACCCCTAATTTTCACATACACTACATAGAAAGGTGGGTAGGAGGAAATGCACATTATTTTGGCATGATGCATGGTAAAGAATAAATCAATGAACCAATCATCAAACTGGTCTAGACAGTGATTTGATAGTTTAGTGGTCAAATTGGAGGGTTACGACCGATCAATTTGGTCTATATTAAAATATGAAAAAAATATATAGTTAATATAATAAGATAAATAAAAAAATAGAAACAAAATTCTATGTGTAATATATTTTGTAACACATAACATACAAAAGTTGACTAATAGTAATTGGGCTCTATCTTAATGTGAAAGGACGAGATTCAAGTCCCACTGACAACCAATGATGTAAAAACTGAAATGAACTAGTTAGTCAAACCACAAAATTGTATGTTTATGATATATTTGTAACACATAACATTCAAAAGTTGTCTAACAAAGTAGTAATTGGGTTCTATCTTAATGTGGAATCCACTGACAACCAATATTGTAAAAATCAAATCTCGTCCCTCCACATTAAAATAGAGTCCAATTATCACTATGTTTTTGTATGTTATGTGTTAGAAATATATTATACATATATAATTTTTTTTTATTTTTTTTTAAATTGTGGTAACTATATTATTTTTTTCATTTTTAATGTAGACAATTTAACCAGTTCAACAAATCAACCTCCAGTTTGACCACTAAACTAGGGGTGAGCATAAACCTGTGACCCGCATGAACCCGCTTAACCCAATAATGCAAATCACGTTATTGGACAGTTTTGGTCGGATAATTGGATTAACGGGCTAAGAAAATCGATTTTTTACTGTTACAAATGGAAGACTTCGGTTCTGAAAACATTGTTTTGTACACAAACCAAAACCGAACGGCCATACATATTATAAATACAGGGGCTTGGGCTAATGCAGTATAATACTAAAACTATGACGAAGTGGTTATAGGCTTGTAGACAATGCGGGAAATATAAGTAGAATCATGACCTTATACGTGTGTAGCTACAAAGAGTGGAATCATGGAAGTGGAATACACATGGCCTTGTACTCGAGCAATGTTGTCATATAGAGTTCGGGTTGGGCAAAGCGGACCCAAACTCGTCCGAACCCTCTCAATGCTCACCCATACACTAAACCATGAAACCATTTTAGATTTTATAACACTATTGTCAACATTGTTTTCATTTTTAATGTGAATGCAACCCAAACCGGTTCACCTGTTTTTCACAAAAATGGAACGGCTCAACTACTTTCCCAATCAGATGAATAAACCATTTTGGGTGGGCACCATTCCCAATCCAATTGACCGATCTGATCCGATTTTCACAACACGGATAAATGTTAAGTGTTACGATATATCATTATTGCCAACTCCAAGTGAATCATCCTTCAATTCATAAGGGAAAAGAAAAGCAAGAGAAGAGAAGACCTAACCCTCATATTCCACAGCTTTTGCATGAAGACTATCTCCACATAATGCTCCAGATGACAAGCACAATAGAAAATGAAGCAGAGAGAACAAGACTTTACTACAAAGGAGTTGCTCTAAATTTAGCTTATAAGTCAATCCGTCTTAACCCAGCTCATGAGCTAAATAAGATAAAAATATTGACTCACTTTTTCGCAAGTTCTTTTGACCCAACTCATTTAACCAACAAGTTGTACCAAGCTATGTTGATGCATTTTTATATTTTTTTTAAAAATTATTTGTTTCCTTAGGAGAGCCAGGGAAGGAAGGGTTGGGGAAAAACAAGAAAAAGAAGGCACTTCTTTACTCACACATGTATTCCCAAAGATGGTTGAAGAAAGAGATCATGACAGGTGCCCTTACATCAACCGTACACTCAACGAACTCAATCAAGTATTGTGTAATCCACCATTGCTTCCAATAATTTTGAGATAAGTCAGCACTACTCTGATTCAACAAAATTTGTTTGAAGACTGTTGTAAGCGGAACCAAATAACCAACTTGCATTGTCGACCAAAAACAAAAAAAAAATGTAACCAATTACATTTACGATCACAGATTTGGAGCAAATGTAATACGTGAGGACTAACTGAGTCTTAAACCCGCGCAGGAATGCTGAGTTTGGTTAGTTCATGCACTATATATGACCATTGACCAATCTGGATTAGACCAAAGTAAGTTCTGTTTATAAATTTGTATCACTCCACGGGTATCTATTCGACATACAAGATGCAACTGCAAGAAAATCTTGCTCTTATAAGTCACAAAAGAGAAATTGAATCCCTTTTGTACCTTAGCACTTAATCATTATGTTTTGACATTAGTGATAAGGAATGCACTGAGACAACCAATAATTACAAGTTTTTTTGACAAATGAGAGGTTATTTGTTTATTACTTTATTATAATAAAAAGTGTCGCAGGCTAAGTACTATTATTCAGACAGAGAACCAGATATTACCACACAAATGGTTCCTCAGAAGCACACCTCGGAGCTTGGTAAGTTCAGATATTAGATTTGCCGCCCTCTGTGTACACAACAGAATTCCAAGATGGGTTCCGGGGAAGAAATGTGTCCTGCCATTGCCAACAGTATAAAATGTTACAACTTACAACAGCACAACACTAAAACAAAAGCACCGAAAAGATCAATAGTTGTGAGTTGTGAGTAATTTGTTTCTAGGCATAGAGATTACTAAAGTAGTTTTGTCTGTCCTAATAAAGTTATGTCTATACATAGTTAGGGTTTAGAAGAGTAGTATGATTTAAATAGTGGAAAAGTGGGAATGAACTATGAAGCATGAGAGATGAGAAGGGAGTTACAGAGACATAGGAGCAGGAGGGGACGATGGATAAGGAGCGGGATTGGGCGTGGTGAAAGGCGGCGACGCAGAGGAGGGAAGCCAAGCCGAGACCTCTCTTGGAAGGGGGAACGAAGGTGTGGACCAAATCCATCACCTTTCCCTTCTCTCTCAACACGTACTGCACGAACGCCTCCTTGTCCTCCGTCTCGAATCTCTGCTCCGCTTCCTTCCATACGATCTTATTGCCACCACCTTCTCCTTCTCCTTCTCCTTCTCCCTCTGCTTCTGCTTCTGCTTTGCTCCTCGTCGCCATTTCCCCTCTGCCTCCTTAGTCCCAACCAATCTGCTTAATGTCTTTGCAAACCACTCTTTAACTTAACCACTCATTTTGATCATGTCAAAGTTACAAAATCTATATGCCATATACAATTTAGTTTTGTAAAAATAATGAATCGTTTTTATATATTATTATAAATATTTTTTTATTAGTTTAAATTCGTTGAAAATATAAAAATATTAATAATTTAAAACCAATCACATTTATTAATAATATAGATCATAAATATTGTGTACAATTATTTTATTTTTTATTTTTATATTTTTTATATAATCATCCAAATTTTTAAAAAAAAATATATATCTTTTATTTATTAGTATTTAATTTGTCATTGACATGTTTAACATTCTTTATATATAATTAAAATTTATAATTATATATACACAAATAAATTATGTTTTAAATTTAATATAAATAGCTTATCTTATAACAAAAAATTATTTTTAATTATTGATATTATTTTTAAAATATTAAAATTTAATTTATAAATAAATATGATAAATAAGAAAATTAAATTAAATAAGAAATTAAAAGAGTTTTTACAAATATTTTTGTCAAAACATAGCTCTTAAAATATTTTTGCACAAAATAACCATTCGCATTTAATGTACCGGAGTTATTTTATTAAAAAAAACTATTTTATTTTGAGGCAAACAAAATATATTTAAATAAATTTGTGTAGAATTGAGAGTCTCACACCTATTAAAAATTACCTTTTATGATAGGGAATTGTTGTGGAATTCACTCGAAAGATAAATGTAACCCTCAACATAATGTATTATGTTAGGTGGGTAATGCATTATCTTACTAATTATATTTGGATATACTACTATATTATTTTAATTGACGTTAGTTACTGAGCTCACAAATATGTCAATATTTGATTTGTTTGCTTTATTTGCATCAGTTACTGTAGACTTGGAAAAATGCAAGTTGTAATATCTGCAAAACACGTTAACTCATATCTAGAGTACACGGGCGATATGCATGTGAATACATGCACAGTGGCATGATGACAACAGATGCTAAACAAGCTAGTTAAGCTAATAATAATCAAAGCTCAGTTAACAAGAATGAAAGCACCATGTTTGAAGCTTTTACACAAGTTTGGAAAAACTTGTCAATAAATACACAGAAGAGGAAAATATAAGTGAAAAAAATTAAGTTTCTCCCACAACTTCAAATTAACTCATGCATTTCAACTTTAATAAAAATTCTCTTATTTAGCTTTTCTAAAAACTTGATTCATGCATAAGTTAATTTTATCTCATGAAAAAACCTCAATTCACTTAAAATGTGTTTTACTGAGACATTTATCTAAACATGACCCATATCATTATGCAGTCATTCAAATAAGTAATCCGAAGGAAAATGCTTCATAGAACATATAGAATTCTGAGACAGGGATCTGTGTACGAAAACAAATGAAATAATAGTAATAAACTAAGGACAAGTATCCCCCATTTCAAATACAAGCGTGATATTAAAATATACTGGACTACCAAGTATCGCCAAGTTGGCTTCATTTCAATCAGCACGAGATTGGCCTGCCCGAGATGAGAGGATGATACCCACAATGAGGCCATACAGAGCAAGAGCTTCGGCGAAAATCAAGATAAGAATCATACCAACAAACAGCTTCGGTTGCTGGGCATTAGCTCTGAAAAAAAAAAAATGAAAAAAAAAGGGAATCATCTCACTCAGCATCCAAGTATTCAGTTAACAAAAACATATATATGCATAGATCTATGAAACAAACTAAAATTTAGTGAGAAAAGCAAGTTTCTGAACATATGCACACAACTTGAAGACGGGAAGGCATAAAACTACTAAAGCAACATGGCGAAACAGCCCAAGAGAATATATATCAAATGGACAAATCTCATGAAGAGAAGAACCAAACAAGTATTAAGCATCTGAAAATGGTCGCAGAGTTATTTACATCATCCTTCCATTGTCAACATTTATATAAAAAGAGTTGGGCAGCTGTTTACAGTCAATACTCAATATTTCTTTTATCAAAATAACATGAAATAAAGTGTAAAATCCAAAATGAGATTATAAAATAGAGAAATTATCTCCAGCGCTAACAGTCTAACACATAATGGTATGAATTTGCCTTTCTAATAACAATCACTGGAAAAAGGCAAATGTAGGTCCTCGTTCACGTAACACAAGTGATGTAACAAAAGTCAACCTAGCCGTCGACCTTCCTCATTAGGTTGATTAGCATTTTTACCCTTTCCACCTAAGAAAATGTTGACTAGGGAGAGACACAGCATATTTTTTAAAACAAAAAAACTATAACAAAACTAAAAGGAAGCGTTTTACAAATAAATTTCATTAGCTCAATCTACGTTATCAACACAAGGAACATGCATAAATTTTTTTCAAGTCCAAGACAACATACGTTCAGACATATTACACTCCAACAACATACAGTGAACACGCAAATACACAACATTGGCAGCAGGAATTGAACTGAGCAGCAACTTTCACAAACAGATATTTTGAAAAGGTTAAATATGCCTATTTATCCAGCATTAGCTATCACTCGTTTCCACATCACCAAAAGTATGCTCCACAGCGCCAGTGCAAACATGTATATAAATGATTGTACAAAATTCATAATAAATAACATAATATGTGCAATGCAGCTAACCTTAGTGGTGAAGAACACTGCAAATTTTTCACATAAGTAAAATAGCACTCTTGAAAACGTTTCTCACTCACAGTTTAGTCCCTGATTTTAATTAAGTTTATGATTCAACACCTAAATAACACAAACAAAATTGTGGTGGTAGACCATTCTTTAAACCTTGAATTGGAGAACAACATTCATAATACCTAACATGTAGGTTTTTACTAATTTTTTTCAGTTTAAATATGTTTTTAGTCCCTCAAATTTAAAGTAAATTAGTTTTTAGTCTCTCAAATTTAAAATTGGTCTGTTTAGCCCAAGTAATTTCAAAAAATCTTGTTTTAGTTTTTATACTCAATTCTTTTAGAAAAATTGTCAAATACTATTACATAAAATCTAACTATTAGTGTTCCTGTTAGTAAAAACATTACATTAAACCTAACTAATACTACGTAACTGTCTCAATTTAATATTTTCAAATATGTTATTGGACTTTTAGATACATTATTAATGACTGAAGGACTAAAACAAGATTTTTTATTTATCCTAAATTTGAGGAACTAAAAACATATTTAAACATTTTTTTTATAATCAACCTATTGAAACAAAGTATCCACCAATTTCGCTAATCTCTCAGAACCAAACTGACCACTTTTAGTGGAGTCTCTCATCCCAACTACATTTTTTCAATCCAGAGACTCCAACCTCCAAAACCTTACTTACGAGTATCAAGTTTGGTACCAATCAGACACCAACGACATGTACTATCTTAAGGCCTTACTCCAGTTTGGCCATAGCATAGGCATGAAGGATGATGCTATGAACCACAAGGCAACACATGGGGACTTATGTTGGATCATAATTATCTCTCTGAATGATAAAAAAAAATAACAGCATAGGCAATGGCATGATGATGAGTTAATACCTGACACCAGCATCACCAACAATTCCAATGGCCATTCCAGCAGAAAGACCAGCAAGGCCACAGGCAAGGCCAGAGGACAAGTGAGCATATCCATCAAAGAGATAGTAAGACTTAGCCTTGGGGTTTATCCCAGTGCTGATGATAACCGCAATAATCAACCCATAGATTCCAAGCACGCCAGCCATAACCACCGGCACAATCGACTTCATCACAAGCTCCGGCCTCATCACACCCATCGACGCCACTCCCACCCCACTCTTCGCTGTTCCGTACGCTGCTCCCATACCTGTCATCAAAATTCAAAAATCATATTATTATTATTATTATTATTATTATTATTATTAAATTGGATAAATATTTTTTAACGATTGAGATTGAGAGTGTGGCGCGAACAGGAGAAGACCAGCGCCGCCGCGGCACCGAGGAAGCCGAAGAAAGGAGCGGTTTCGTCGCCACTGAAGCCTGCCATCGTTGATGAGATTTTTTTTTTTTCTCTCTCTCTCTTCTTTGTTCTCGCGGAGCAAAGAGAATGGAATTGATTGGGTTGTTGTGAGATCAGATCAAAGCGAAATGTGGAAATGGAAAAAAAAATTAAATTATTTGGATTGGTACAGAAGGAGACAGGTTGCAGTGTGAGAGAGAAGGATCGTGTTGCGTCATTTTACCATAATGCCCTTTTTCTCTTCCCAGGGTTTCCTTTAGGTTTTCTGTTGGGCCCGCTTAATGCACTTGCCAGGCTGGGCTTTGGCTGGGCTTGGCCCTTTTCTTTTTCTTTGGACTAATTATTGTGCAAACTAACTTATCATTCCCATATGACAAAAGCAAGCAAACAAAGTAAATTATATTTTTCTTTTCTTTTACACCATTAAATTTTTCTTTTTTGGAGGGACTTTTAAAATAGAAAATATATTATTTTATTAAAGGAGAAATATGTGTTATATTTGAATTTTTTAAAAAATAAATGTTTTTTTTGATGATATTATTATGTTCTTTGTAATTTTTTAACATTGTTAATAACTAGTTTCAAATTTTCACTATTCAGTTTTTGGATTTACTTAGATAAAATGAAATTTTAAGTTTTAAAAATTGTCTCAAACAAATAATACGAGAGTATGAACCACTGTATCACCGAGAATTAGGTAGAATCACGAGAACTCAAGTTTCATTCTCAATCTTTCTTACCGATTAAAAAAATAATACGGGAGTTTAAAATTTTGTCATTTTGTGAAGTCATAAGAATAATAAGAGTAAATTACAATATTATCTTTTGAGATTATGATATTTTTTAAATAGCTTAAAATAATGTACTAATTATATGAAACAATTTTACATGGTCAATTAATTATATGTTATTGTTGTTATGATTTTTTTTTTTATCTATTTCTAATAAAGTCAACACTTTGTCATGATAGTTGTTTGTAAAATTATTTTGCATTATTAGTGCATCACTTATTTTTTATTTATAAAATACATGAATTTTACATTTAAATATTCTCTTGTGTTAACAATTACACTTTCTCTTTTCATAATTCAGAATATATAATATTTTATTCTTTCAAAATTAATATATAAAAGAATACAAGCAGAACGGATCGTTTTAGTCTCAGAACGGACCGTTCTGATTTCAGAATGTGTCGTTTCAGATCATTAAAGAAGGGGATGAGGAGTCATGCCACCTATACATCTACGTGGCATTCACGTCATCACATTTAACATCATTTGTGAAATTTAGACAGAAAATCTCACATTGACATTTTTTAAATTATTAGAGATCAAATTAAAACAAAAAATTATAGAAAAACGAAATTAAAACTATTAATTATTATAAGAGACTAAATTAAGTATTATACATTTAAATATTTTCTTGTGTTAACAATTACACTTTCTCTTATTCTGAATATATAATATTTTATTCTTTCAAAATTAACACATAAAAACTGCTTTTAGAATGGGCCGTTCCAGATCATTAAAGAAGGGGGTGAGGAGGCATGTCACCTATGCATCTACGTGACATCCACGTAATCACATTTAACACTAATTATGAAATTTGGACAGAAAGTCTCACATTAACATTTTTTAAATTATTGGAAACTAAATTAAAATAAAAAATTATAGAAGAACGAAATTAAAATTATTAATTATTATAAGAAATCAAATTAGTTATTTTGCCATATTAATTTGATAATATAAGAAAAGTAATAAATTTGAGTGACAGTATGAGAAGAAATGCATAAAATATATGCATAGATTAAAGGCAACGATGAATGGCTTTAGAAAGTTGGATGGTTTTGAAGTAAGATGCTTTTAGACACAGTCCAACCCTGGTCTCTCTCCTGTGTGTCGCGCGAGTGTGGTTGATTACCCTTCTTCGCTCTCCTTAATTTCCCAATACCCACTATCCCACATGGCCGATTCGAAGGTGGAGACGATTGCCAGATTAGCCCAATGGAAAATCGACAACTTCGGACCCTGTTCCTACAAGAAATCAGACCCCTTCAAGCTCGGAATTTGGAACTGGTACACCTCCCTCTACGCTACCTTTGTTAATGCCTTTGTCTTTTCAGTGGTTGTGCCTCAATGAATTGTTATCTATGCGCAGGTACATATCCATTGAACGGAACAGGTACCTCTACATACACATCTTTCCAGAACCTTCCAGGGTTTCTAAGGAACAGCCACCTGTCGCTCGTTTCATTCTCCGAGTCTCCAGTAACACCGGATCTTCCCGCAAATTTTACATTTCCCCTGGTCCCTACTACTTCTCTTTCCTCTTTTCTTTTCTGTTGCTGTTATTGAATCTTAATATTCAGACCTTGGGAATGTGTGTGTGGAATAGTATTTGTTAGGAGAGCTGAGTTTCTTAATGGTAATTTGGGGAATTGGGTTCTGATCTTGGGCACAAAAAAAGAATCTTTGTATTCAGATAGTGAGACTTCGATTGATCGTGTGAAATTATGTCATTTTGAAGTCCTTTGAGTTGATCATGTGTTTTTGTTTGAGTTGTGAGTGAAAGAGAGGGAACTTGGGGATGTTGATTGTGGGGAGATATGACGGAACATTTGATGGAGGCTATACTTTTAGGATAAGATTTTGAATTTTGAATTTTGTTTTTAAGTAGTCATTATGATGTGGCTATTATTAAGGAATGGAATCCTTGGTTTTATGTAAGTTTAGGCTCCAAGAGAAGAGGTGAAAGTTTTGGGTGATGTGATTTAAGAAAATAGTATATGCACTTTATATTGTTAATCAATAAAAAGTGAGTTAATCACCTATACACTGTCAGTGTAAAGTTTTTTTACACTGGCAACCAATTATATCCTTTAATTGTGTCATGTCACTGATAAAAGTAAATTTGCTTATAATGACATGGCACAATTAAATGATATAATTAATTGTCAGCGTAAAAAAACTTTACACTGACGGTATATAGGTGATTAATTCATAAAAAATTATTGTGTATGGCAAGTTTGTTGATTTTTAATAGAGTTAATCACCTATACACTGTCAGTGTAAAGTTTTTTTACATTGACAACCAATCATATCTTTTAATAGTGTCATGTCAATTGCTCATTTAATGAAATAAAAATAAAATAAAATAATTTAAAAGATATGATTGGTTGCCAGTATAAAAAATTTTATACTTACTTAATAACTACTTAAAATGTGATGCCAGTATGATTTCTGATTGGCTGACAATGCATATAAGTCAATCTCAAGTGATTTGATGTTGTATGGGTATTATATTACAGAAAGTTGTAGGTGATTACAGAATGCTGTAAGGAATAGTAACTAGCTTTTAACAAACTACTGCATCATCTCACTGCTCATGTAATGCATTCTGCTACACATGACACAACTATGCTTCCTCTCCTCTATTCAAATTTTGGGCAATATTGGTATGAATCTGTTTAATCAAGATTGGACATAAGAATCCAAATCTTTTGGCTTGCTCTTAGTGTGCTTAGGCCTTGTGTTGTGCTGCTTTGTTGGGCTTTTTCTTCTAGGTCTATCAGTCTGATATCATAGGCAGACAGGGACCAGCGGGTGGGAAATGCTTGAAACTTGAAAGGTGATTTGGTTATTTTTGCTTTAGATAAATTGCCATGATTCTTTTTTTGGAGATTGGATTATTTGGTAATGGAGGACTGTGGTAGACAAAATAATAATGAACAGTTCCAACAAATTAGATAAGTGGCTTGGAAATTATGTGGTTATTATAAAAGAAGGGGAGTTGGGAAATCTACAAAAATAAAAAATAAAAAAAATTGTTAGCTGTAGTAAAGTTTAGGTCTATGCAATATTCAAGTTAGCAACACAACCTTGAAGTTTGCTTCCCCCAATTTTGGTTATTTGTTCATGGGGGATTTCCCTTATAGCAGAAGTTCCATTTTTGACATCACTGCATCAGCTGTTTTGTACGCATACACTCCACTTCTGTTTACCAACAAGAAATAGGGTTCGATTTGCATTGCCACCTCAAAATGGCAACCATGAAGATTAAAATTGCATTTACCTGTAGCAACTTCAGGATTGTATGATGAAATGCTGACACAGGTTATGCCTTCATTTGTATGTGCTTGTAATTTTCAGTTCATGAAAGGGTGCTTAGGACATGTGATGACTTTGTTTGGCCTGTTGATACTACATTCCTTGGTCGCTTCATTATTGATGTTGAATTTCTTGACCTGAAGACCTGCCCCGCCAATGTGAGTCCCTAATTGTTATAATCATTATTCAATGTAAATAAATGATTTTATAATTTATTCTTAAATATAATGGTGCATTTTTTCCCTCTAAATATCCATCTGTTTATAAATATATTGGTCAATGGTTTGTATAAGTTATTAGATTGTTGCTTCTTAACCTTTGATCATTTCTTTTGAAAATCAGGGCGGAGAAGCCAGGTCTGTATGGCCATCTGATGGAAAACTGCAAACTGTTGCAGCTCAAAGTGCTCTTCGATGCCTGTCTCGCATGCTTGATGAGGCTATACATGCTGACCTCACCATTATCACTGCAGATGGTACCCTGAGGGCTCATAAGGCAGTTTTGTCTGCCAGTTCTGCTGTATTCCATGGCTTGTATATTCACAATGGTGATGAAAAAGAGACGTCTACGATCCACATGGAAGATATGTCTCAAGAATCCTGCATGTCCCTTCTGAGTTACTTGTACGGAACTATAAAACAAGAAGATTTCTGGAACCACAGGCTTGCATTGCTTGGAGCGGCCAATAAATATGAGATCGGTGATCTCAAAGATGCCTGTGAGGAAAGCCTGCTGGAAGATCTCAATTTTGGAAATGTTCTGGAGAGGCTAAATGATGCTTGGCTCTACCAGTTGCACAAGTTAAAGAAAGGATGTTTCACATACTTGTTCGATTTTGGTAAGATATATGATGTTAGAGAAGAAATCAACACCTTTTTCCGTCATGCAGATAGGGAGCTAATGCTGGAGATGTTTCAGGAAGTGCTTACAATTTGGAAATAGGTTGCCATGGAACACTTGGCACTCTTGTATCTTGCTAATGATGGATCTTTTTGTATAATCCTGTTTTTGCTTTTTAGTACTATGTAATATCATGTAGATAATACCAATCTACCCTCTTTAACAACCTAGTTGTTAAAATGTCAAGTGAGGTGGTACATTATTCTGTATATATTGGCAAGTTGAGTTTGATGGTTTTTCTATTTCTGGTTTTCTGCTTTGTTCATTAATCGAATCCTATCTTGGGACCCATAACTACTTGTAACTCTAAAAGAGGACACATCTATGGCTCCAAGATCGGGACGCTCGGGCTAACCTAGTCGAATTGCTGTTGAAGAACAAGTGGCATACATGTTTAGGAAGTTAGATGTTGCTGATATCAATGAACATGGTCTGAAATAAGATTAACACAGAAAAATAATGAAGGGAGTTGCCCATCAACTGAGAACGGTTTTCATTTTAAGAATAGTTTTTTTTTCTTTCATTTGTATAACCACCTAGTGGATAGTAGTTTTGACCTCAAGATTTTCAACCACATATGTTGTTGGTTACTCATTTGATAGTCATAAAAGGGTCATTTCTTATCTATCATTTTATTAAAATAAATAAATAAGAAAACCTAAGATGAAATCTGGATCTTAGTACTGGGGAGAGTGGTCAAATTCTTTTTCTTCCACTTTAATTACTTAAATATTAAACATTAAACAATGTGTCTGTAGATTAAACCTTACAAATGATAAACATTTATGAAAACTTCATAATGTTATTCTTTATATGTTTATTGAAATTTTTCGTTACATGTTTTCAATTAATTTTTTTTCAAACAATTTTATACTAAGCTACCAACAAATAGATGAAATGTCTATTACTTGCCCTCCTCTAACTTAGTTTTCGTAACCGTGGCTTTGATATCATGACAAAATCATATGTGAAGAGAGATTGAATATCTGAATTGTATTTGTATATTTGACATGTGTTTGCAGAAAGATTTTACATAGATTTCAACTCATGAAATAAAGGAAATCAGATCACATTAAATCTGTCTAATTCTAATCAACATAGAAATAAATCCTCTGTAATTATAGAAACAAGTCTATTTAATAACAGAATCTACACTAAATATAAACAATAAGAACTAATGATATTCTTGTAAGCTAGTGAAATAGAAAAAAAAAGGAAACAAAATCAACAAGATAATTTTTAACAGAAAGGTAAAACATGTAATGAAATCTGAATTATTTTGCCTGAGTATAGATTATAAAACACCAATTACATTCACTGAGGAAAAACAAAAAGAAAAAAGAAAGAAAAAAGCGTAGCAAAAGGTTAAGTGAGGTTTTATCTTATTTTAGGCATGTCAATGTCGATGTTATTCTTGTCGGTAATTGCGGTGGGCGCGTGCTGAAATACAGCGTGTGCGAGTGCACGCGCTGCGGTGAGCGCGTGAACTTGGTGGACTACGACATGGTTCACAAACTCTTCTACTTGGTTCCCGTGTGGCGCTGGCCGGCGAGAGACCCTTTCTTTTATTGCGCCAATTGCCACCGCTCTCTGCCGTCCTATTACTCCCCGCCGCCCGCCGCTCCCCGCCGCCGATCCAGCCACTCTCAACTGTTGACACGTGTATGTGGAAAGGTTTTGGAAGTGAGAGTTTGTTAATTACTTGTTATTTTTTGGTACTATAATTACTTTGTTTTGATAAGTACTGTACCATGATTATTATTATTATTTTTTTTTTTTTTACTTTAGTGACAATTTATTTTTACGTTAGTGATGTTAGAATATAGAAATTCATGTATACTGTTCCAATCTTATCCTGATTGATTCTGATAGTTATTATTATTTTTTTATTTCTTTAGAATTTGCTGTGAAGTTTGACTCAATTTATTTTTAAATATAATCGTTTCGTTTATTTGTATTCATTTATTGAAATAAAGCAGTTATTTTTATTTTTTATTTGCACTAAATATGTACGAATGTATGAAATGTGGGAGTACCTCTTTTACACCAGTATATAATTATTTATATATAATTTTTATTTCTCTTTATCACATAGTTTTTTTTTATATTTTTATTCATTTTTATTTCGGGATATACAGATCAGTTTGATTTTTTTTTTCAAAAAAAAATTTGATCCAATTCAATAAAATGTGGTTTGGGCTCAATTATATTTTTCAATTTTTACTAATAAAATGCGGTGTGCCACTCACATTTAGAACAACATGGTGATGAAAAATAGGGGTGATTGTATATTAGATTAGAACGGAAGAAAAAAATCATTCGATCTAATTTTTTGATTTTTTTATTAATTATTCAATTAATTTGATATAAAATTAAATTTAATTCAATTCAAATATATTTTGAGAGTGGTTTTTTTATTTTTTAAACATAACTATAATATTTTCATAGGTAAAAAAATTAAATATTTTATAAGCAAAAATGATTATTAATATCATTATCATTAATAATAAAAATAAAAATAATATAAGTCATAATATACAAAATTACGAATTGAAATAATATATTAATATTTAATAACATGATAAAATTACTAACTTAAAAAAAAAATAAGTAAATCAATTTTTAATTACTCAATTCAATAGTCAATATATTATTTATTAAAATATAAAATATCAAACGAAATCAAAAAAAGTATCAACTAAAAAAGAGGGTAAAAGACAACATAAATATTATTAGAGAGAAAAGTTGTGAATGATCTTTACATTGTCACAAGTCTTCGTCACTTATACTTATAAAGTGAGATGAAAGATGTTTCATTTAATGACCATAAGGTTAAGAATAACTTTAAGAAGAAGAATCCGTTTACTTTAAGAGTACGTCTAGTTAAACTTATTTTATTCAATAATTCATATTTTACATTAAATTTTAATGATCTAACTGTTAAATTTAAAGTTCTTAATACATTAATGAAATCTGCAAATTAAAAAAATTTGAAAACTATTTGATACTTTGTTTCATTAATTCAAATTAATGTATAAAATGATTTTATGATTACCCGTTAATTTGAATTAATGAAATGAAGTAATAAATGATTTTCAAATTTTTTAAAAATATACAGATTTGATCTATGCATTAAGAACTTTATATTCAACGGTTAGATAATTGAAATTTAATGTAAAACATGAGTTATTGAATGGAGTAAAGTTGGCAAATGTGTCATATCTTGATAGACCAATGAATCAAAATTGTTCAATTCAAAGTATCATAATAGTTCAGTTTAATGACACAAAAAATAGTTCAATTCAGTTCATGTGAACTAATATTCAGTTTAGTTCAATTCATGAGAACTACTTTTAAGTTCAATTTTTATAAATTCAATTCAGTTCATTTTGCCCACCCTTATAGAGAATAACATTTATTTATATATTCTTGTAAAAAGAATTATATATATATATATATATATAGGAAGGATCCTTTTACTTCAGGAGTAAGTCTACCTAGACTTATTCCATTCAATAACTCATGTTCTACATCAAATTTCAACGATCCAACCGTTCAATTTCAAGTTCTTAATACATAGATCAAATCTGTAAATTTTTAGAAAATTTAAAAATCATTTGATACTTCGTTTCATTAATTTGAATCAATGTATAAAATAATTTTATGATTATCCGTCAATTTGAATTAATAAAATGAAGTATCAAATGATTTTTAAATTTTTTAAAAATTTGCACATTTGATCTATGCATTAAGAACTTGAAATTGAACGGTTGAATCGTTGAAATTTGATGTAGAATATGAGTAATTGAACGGAGTAAGTCTAGGTAAACTTACTCCTAGAGTAAAAGGATCCCTCCTCATATTCATATATATATTATTTAACATATAGTTTATTTTGCAGCTATGTACGGTTATTTTGTTGATAGTTAATTAGAAGATGAAATGAAAAAATAAATTGTCAACATAAAAATTGATTTTTTATTATTATTAATATAGATATAAATATATAATATTGATATCGATAATAATGTGGTATTATTGATTCAATTTCAGAAATACTAAAAAAAAATGGAACTGTATAGACGGGTTATTTAAAGATCGTCTAAAATAATCGAATTGGATAGGTCTTTGATTATTTTGGTTGGATTTGCACTTCTTTTGGATTGAATCTGAACACGCCTATTTCTTCCCTCATCTTATGTATAATAAATTGTAAAAATATAATAATAATAATAATAATAATAATAATAATAATAATAATAATATATAAGAGAAAGAAGCATAGAAAAAATTGGCTTGACTTGTTATTAGAGTTTGAAACCCATGGCAGTATGCGCATCATCTGATCGCCCATTGTTGTAACTACTACATTGTTTTTAAGTCGATTGTACAAAACAAATCACTACAAAATAAAAATAACACTTATTTAATTCATTCATAAAAGAGTGGCATTATTTTACCCTAATTTTATTTTATTTTTATTTCTCTTATTATTTTATTTTATTTTTTTAAACGTACGACATATCTATTGTTCAGATTTAAATGTGAGGATACTCGTGGTGACTTCACTAGCCATCTTCATGTTGCTCTATGCAGAAACAACATCGAAACATACATAGACTACGGGATGCAGAAAGGAGATGAGGTTTGGTTAGAACTATTGAAAACCATTAAAAGTAGATATATTACAAAATAAAAAATAAAAAATAAATAAAAAGATAAATGACTCGATTGCAATTATTTTTTTTTAGAGATCTAATTAAAAATTTTCAAAAAATTCACAGACCAAACAATACATTAAACTTTTAATCGAAAATAATATGTTTTATTTCATTAAAGAAATAACAATGTTAACAAATTTAAAGTAGATATATTATATTTTTTATCTAATTTACTTTTATACTATCATTTATTATAAAGTATTATATAAATATTAAGGATCAAAAGTAATGCATCTTCAAATTAGAAGGATAAAAATACATTGAGAAACTAGAACCAAATCCAAAAAATTTTAGAAAGATTAAAAATATATTATCATTTTATAAATATAATACTTAAAAAATTAACAATAAAGATAACAAGATATTATAATCATATCATTTTATATTTAAAATGAAAAATAAATATAAGAAATGATAATTTTAATTTATTTTTAAAAATAAAAATATATAAAAAACTATAACACAATTGTATAGTTTAAAAAAAAAAAAGATAGGTCCTTATTGATCATGGGCCCTGGATAGTTGTCCCTGCAATTAAGGGCCAGTCCTGTTGCTACTTCCACCACTATGCTCATCACTCCCACCATTCTTTTTGCTTCTAAACCATCACATTATCAAAGCTAAAGAAAAAGGAAAAGGTAACAGAACTAGGAAAAAAAAACACAAAATGAAATATGAAAGTAAAAGTGGAAAATAATTTTTTTGAATGCGCAATGAAGAAGGGAACAAAGAAAAGGAAAAGGTAACAAAATCAAAAACAAAAGCCTGGTGTTGAAACACACAAATTGCATTCTATGAAATTTTAAACCATTTTTTATCTTGTGATAATTTTTTTTTCTATTTTGAGTGTTATTCACTCGTTAAAAAGTTAATCTTTTTCATGTTGACTTTAATATAAAAAATTTATTAAATTTTTTTTAATCATATTTAAAACTCTCTCGACATAAAATCTCTGTCATAAAAATTTTAGAGTTTATTTATTAACTTTTTTTATTAGTAAAAAATAATTTAAGATGACAATTTTCGAATTTATTTATTAACTTTTTTTATTAGTATAAAATAATTTAAGATGAAACTATGGAATAGAGGGAGTAATGTTTATTTGCTAAGTTACTCTAAGTAATTTTATTCTTCTGTATAATCTTTGTATAGGACTGAATCTGACTTGATTGAAGACATTATCAAAGTTATTTTTCCAAAGCTAGATCAGAAGTACCCGCATGACTTTAGAGGCCCTTTCATATATGATGAAAATTATACAAACATTTTTAAAAGAGGGGAGGGTTTAAATAGTAAAATAGGGGGTGTGAATATTAACTTACATTGATGGAACTTTGCGAAGCCCATATAACGGAAGCCCAAATCTGAAGAAATCGCAAGAAAGCTCCAGAGATTCGGAAAAGAGAAGAAAGCGAATTTTTAACCGACTTTATTATATTAGACAAAAGAAAACGCAGAAGAAGGTTGAGAGAGAGGTTACAGGTTAGAGATATACCGTTTAAGAGATGTTCTTTTTCTTTGTGGGAGGGTTACAGAACGAGGTGCGGCAGGTGGTGAAATCCGGTGTGGGCGGCTGCACGTACTGCGGTAGGCGCGCGGATCTCGTGAACTACGATAAGGTTCTCAAGCTCTTCTTCGTTCCCGTCTGGCGCTGGCCGGCCAAGGATCCTCTCTTGTATTGCGCCAATTGTAGGAACTTCTTTCCGCCCGCCGCCGCCGATTCCACAGCGCCGCCGCTTTACGACGCCTTGCGCTGCCGCTTCTGCGACCGCGCCGTGGACGCCGATTTCCGATTCTGCCCTTTCTGCGGCTCCGAACTCTGAAGACATATCACAAATGAAATTGAGAGTGCGGTGTAGAACTCTTCCGGCTTAATCAAGTATGTCTTATAACTTATAATGATCATGCTTTTTTTTTTTTGTTGTGAAATTGAAAAATAATTTCAGAGCTTGTACTTGAATTGAGTGCAACATGACTTAAATACGTGTGAAATCACTGTAAAGTTTGGCTCACTTTATTCGTTGAATAAAAAACAATCGTTTATTTCTTTCTAATCAAAATATTTATAGTTAGGTTTAATTAATTATTTGTGTCTATAATTTTTTTAAAATTTGCGTTTTTGCATTTAAAACGTTTCATTTTAATATATATATATATAATGTTTTATTTTAATTTTTTATATATCAATTTTTTATTTTTACTTTCTATTATTACATGAATTAAAAGTAAAAACTTAATTAAAATTAACATGTTTAAAAATTAAAATATAATATTTTAATAATAAAAATTAAATGATAAAATTATAGGAAATAAAGATATAATTAAACCTTATATTTACTAGCAGAGAAGAGACTTCATGCGTCTTTCTATATTTATTTTTGAAAATTTTTATATGAAGATGATTGAAGTCTTATAATATTAAGAATGAATGTAAAGTTTGACTAGTTTTTTGGTTTAAATTCTAAATCTACTTTTTTTTAACTGATTAATTCTAAAGTTTTGTTAAATATAAGCAAATAGTAATATATAATAGATTTAAATATATTTTTAAATTTTCAAATTTAAAATTATTTTTAGTCTTTTAAATTTAAAATAATAATTTTTAGTCTTTATAATTTTTAAAAATTTTACTTTAATCTCTCAATAATATATCTAAAAATCTAAAAATGACATAGATAATTATATTATATTAACATAAAAATAGTAGATAAATTTTATATATCATTATTTAGTAAATTATTTAACAAAATTTGAGTATAAAAATTAAAATATTTATTAAAATTATAAAAACTAAAAAAATCGATTATTAAAACTTAAAATATATTTAGATCTACATAATAAATATTTAGTTAGATCAGATTAAATTAGATTTTCAACATTTAAATCCGAAATCTAATACGAACTTATGCAATTTGCATTTTTCAATTTGACATGAGCTAATTCAATTTTTTTTTGGGTTTGGAATCATCAGTTATTTGAATTTTTTTATATTTTTATTGATGCTGATTCGTACCCACCCATAGCGTGTAGTAAAAATTTAAGAGTAAAATCTTAATAAAAGATGGGGGGGAAAATTTGTTACTAAAACATATATCTTTTTTTTATAACGTGTATAGATAATATACTTGTAGTCAGACATTTATGGGTGTGATGATACCTATTACTACTTCTATGAGAATATTTGAAAAAAATATTTATCATTTATTAAACTCTTTAAATTACTTTTTATTAAAATATAATTATTTTAGAATGCTTTTAGTCAATAAACAATGAGTATTGGAAACTACTAAGATAATTTACATAAACTCTATTTTCTCTCCAATATAAAATAATTATATAGAAAAAATAAGATGACAAGTCCCAATTATATTATGTTGAATTGGGAACTCCAAACTAACATTGTAAACCTAACATCCCATTCTTATTGCAATCTATGGTGGGCATATATACAAGCCAGGTCTTAAATAACTGTCGTGCTTTTATTGCAAGCCTTGATGTTGTCAAAAATTGAAGACAAATGCAACCAACGTGATCGCAAGTTGCAGTTTCAGAAATTCTAAAATCTTTGAAGTTGCTGGTGCACACCAATTTTTAAAACCTAGCATTCGCAATAAAAGCAATTAAGGGAAAAAAGAATATAAAAGTATTCAAGTTGTAGTAAGTTGTAACCCAAACCAATCAGGAATTCTGAATTAACATTGCCCTGAATGTTGTGTCATACAATACACATGCCCCTTTGTTTAAGGGTGAGGTTAAGGCACCAGGTGAGCGGTGCAGACATCACAAGGGGAAAAAAATGATTTGACACTGTACAAAAATTATTAAAAAAAATAATAATGAAAAAAGGGTGAAGGTGTCAAGACTCTAGTATTTTTGGGAAAGGAACACAGCCTCTGATGAATACAACAGTTCCCGGATGGTCTTGTAATGATGAAGCCTTGAGTTGAAAAAGAAAAATTCCTTATTGGATTTAAGAAGCATCACTGACTGACAAAAAGGAAAGAAAAAAAACAGCATCTTTTACTGTGTACTCGAATCTATGAAGTGAAGGGTAGTTGCTTATCTCCTCGCTCCAATGCATCTCTCCAAAGTCTGTATCTCACCCCAAGCTTGTCATATGATACAGGCAAATTCCATACGTTTGCACCATTGTTCATTCGTTCTTGCTGCCCCACCACTAGCCGTAGATCCTCATTTAAAACCTTATGTAGGACAACATTAAACACATCAATTAACACAAGTTGGAGAAGACAATTATACAGAGATCTCATTTATTTGAGTACAAAACATACATCAAATTTTTCATGTCCTTGTTATTAATTTCTCGAATTAAATTATGAATTCAACTTGATTATCTTAAGCAAAGTCTCAAGTTTAAATATTGTGAATGAAAATAGTGTAATTTGGAGGAGAGAACTGACAGTGAACATAAAGAGAACATAATCACTTAAAGTTAATTTTTGTCTTTTATTTCACTGAAGAATAGAAATTTAGTATAAATCAAAACTAAAAATTTAAACCATATTGAATTATAGTCTGAATTATGTCTTAGGTTTTCAAGACTTCCTAGTTCCTATTAGTGTTTATTTATCCTCTCTGCATGTTAAAATACCCGAAATCTATGAGGATATCTACAACAAAACTAGTATGCCTTTTGAGGCATAATTTAATTTTTTACTTCTGTTCTTCCTCCATAGTTCACAGTTAATTATGAATTCATGATTCGGAAAACACCCTACCTGTTCTGCGAAATGCTTCCACAGATATTGCATTAAAGGTATATGCTTAAGCAGAGGAGCGAAATCCAGTGACATTCGGTATAGCAATCTTGTCTTTTGTTTTGAAGATGGTAGGCAGACATGAAGCTGGTGCAGGTGTGTTGAACATTCACGGGTATTTTGTCCCTCCAATTTCCCAGGCTTTGAAATTCCAATGGTTGATAGCACCATGCACGGCGGTCGAAACTCCATATCGATAGGATAAGGATCCCAGTATCCTTGCAGGCCAGATGAAGGTGTCAAGAATTTCACCAAGCTGCAAGTTCAAATTCATGAAAAGAGACTAAGTGAGCTAGAAACTTATTATTTCATAAAGCTAAGACTTGTAACAAAGTTGCTGAACTACTCCATTCATGCACAATTCAAATATGAAACTCTGATGCACATCATGCACTGACTACTTTATTATATTTGAACCATCAACCCCAGAAAAATATCACTCCTGAATGCCTTTACCATAAAATGGTCAATATAAAAAGGCTTCTAAGAGTGCATTGTTAAAACATTAACTATTTTCAAGAACATGAATGAATTTAACTTATTGAATCCTCCGTGTGACAAAATTCCAACTCTATATTGAGTATTACTTTTTGCCTTGTCTGAAGAGTGTATTCTAGAAGCAAAAAAATTTCAAGTGAGATTGGAGGAAGGGGGAAGAAGTTTTCAGTCAATTCAAAACAGCTGAACTGCAACATCCCAAAAGGCATTTTGATACCCTTGCCACAAGTTACCGCTTAATGACAATTGCTTTCAGTTTTAAGGGAATAAACCAAACAAACCTGGGAACACTCCATCCCTTTGCGAATGTTGAAGTGTGAGTAAAAGGGGCATGTGCAAGATCCAAAAGATTGTCCAAAAGTAAACCATGTTCAATTGGAAGTTCCATCACAATCTGTCACAAGTGAAAGAGCCACCGAGTAAGAACACAGGTTTCTTTATCTTTCAATCACTCATATAATTATAATTCTTTTATCTTGCATCGAACACAATACCTAATGGAACAGATTATATTCATAACATACCTCGGCATGGATTTCAAATCCAGAAGGAGGTAGTAAAGATGGAAGTGTGGCTGTTGGTGCGTCATTGCCAGGCCAAATCCAGATCATCCCCTCTTTTTCAAAACATGGAACTGACTTTATTTTCACATTTAGCAGTCGAGTAGATGGCATTTTCTCACATTTTCCATCTGTGGTATATTCCCAGCCTGATATCCAACCATTTGGTAATTTTAGAGTCTTTCAATTTTAGTGTACAAAAATATGTAGGTTGTGTCATGTGTAATTACACAAGTACCAAAAGTGCATAAAACCCATTGCTACGACATAATCATTTGTTTCGGCAACTACTAACCATGGTAAGGGCATTGGATACGACCCTCGTTTACTGAACCAAGGTGCAGAGGACAGGCTCTGTGTGCACATGTATTCTGGACACATCCAGGCTTCCCATCTTTCCCTCTGAAGATGACCCAAGGTTCCTCGAAACATTCTATTGGAATCTGAGATAGAAAAGGAGTAACACATCAGAATTCATTCTTAGCTTAGAGTATGTCCATCTTTTCAACAAGCTAATTCAAATAAAAATTCATTTTGATTATATAACAATAATCAATAATACATATAATTGATTATTGAAATAATTTAACTTAGCTTTCTCAAACACACTCTTAAGTATATGATAGATACTTTTTTAGAGAAAGACTCGTATTGACTTACCATGGTATCATCCTTTAGGTCACTAGAGAAAGCAACAGGGTACCAGAAATTCTTCAAGAGGGGATGGTATGACTGAACCGGGCCTGATACGTTCAAGCTTTTCCGTGGCTGCCTTTTCTTTTCTGTATCTAAATATTTCGCAGAAGTACTGGGAGAAGAGGATGTTTGAGCAACTTCAGCAGTGCTTCTGTCTTGCAACAGCCTATCGCTCACCAACTCTTCCATGTAAGCAAGTTTATCTAAAGCAGTAGTAACCCTTGCTTCAGATATGTGAACCTGTGGTTATTCATTAAGTTACATAAATATAGTGACAGATTAATAACATATTGACAAGTTTCTTCCAAGTTATATGCATGTTTGGTTTCTCTTGTGACGACAGTAGATTCACATCAAAACAGAAGTAGCTAGTATTTGCTTCTTCAATCATTTTATAATTTGACATGTATCTCAGATCAATTGACAAGTATCCAAACGCAGCATAGATCAATTAATACCACTGCTAAAATTCTATACCTGTCTGTGTGCTTGGGCCAATTCATCCTGCAACTCAGCTAGCTCCTTCTTCAGGGTGCCAATAGATTTATATTCGCGAGCTAGAGGATTAAGAACTTCAACCACCTACACCCATAATTTTTGGAGGTATAAATCAACACATGATTAGATGCATAGCTCAATGAGTAAAAGGGGGTAGTAAAACAAAAACTATATTGTTGTGAGACTCTAATCTGATCCATTGACCAAGTTTGTATAAATCAGGAAAATTCACAAGGGCTAAACTAAACATCAACAAACACCATAATGCATTCCAGCATCAAAATAACAGTTACTAGAATCAGTTGAAACCTTTTCATGGAGGAGCATGATTGTAAGCACATCTTGCCGAGCTCGCCAATCTAAGTATTGAATATCATATCTGGCCACTTCAAGGGCTTGATATACATCCAAAAACTTCCCTTTATTCTGTGGAATCTTAGATCTCGGATCCTCTACATCAAACAGCGCACCCCATGCATTTTTCTTCTCTACTTCGCCAAATACAGCAAACACTCTAAATCTACCTTTCAAATCCTGAAATTTAACATGCCCAAAAAAATGTGAGCTACAGAGAACAAACCTCACTCCTTTAGCATTGTAATTACCCGAAAATGTAGCTCCAACAAAGGAGAAACTTTCTATATATTATTAACCACTCATACACAAAGGTTTAACAAGCGACAGACGTAGGAAACTACTAACTAATAAAACCTGCAAGAAAAATTTTAAATTTAAGTCATAGACCAAGCATTGTACCGCATGCCACAATTGAGATAAAAACTAAATCCACGTGTCCAATTTTCATTTTGAACTCAATTGCATGGACAAAAAATAATCTAAAGTGCACTAGAATCAACAAATTTCCCACCATGCTAGTATATGTAAATGCCCTTTTAAGTTCAAGCAGTTAAACTAAGTAACAAACACCAATTAGCAATAGCAACTAACTTCATGACATTAAATAACACAAATAAAATTTAATTTTACAATTAATTTAAAAAAAAAAAGTGAAGCATGCAGAACAAAAAAAGGTTACCCTTTTGGTGTCGAGTTTGGAAGCTCTAAGGAAAATGGGAAGAGAGAGAGCTGAGGCAGTGGCAATGGCATGCATGGCTTTGAAGAGGTGACAGTGAGTGTGAAGAGAGGAGAAACGTGAGAGAACATTGACGAGGAGGATTTATTGCGAGGATTTTGTTGATAAGAGGTTGGTGTTGCGCGCGATCTCGGTTGTCCTTCCTCAGAGCGCCACGTGGAGTCGTTGGGTTGACACGTGGCCCGTGTTTCCTCCACATGGTTGGTTAAGGGCTGTGAGAGTATCTGGCGCGTGTGCCACGTCGGAGTGGAAGATATGTTGTCTATCCTCTCGGCGCTGTGTCTTTTGTCCGTTGGTGGGAATTTTGATTTTTTGAAAAAAGGGTGTGTGGGCATTAATTGCGGCTTCAGATTTTTGTGTAAAAGTCCTTCATCTATGGGTGTGGTTGATGCAGATATTTTTTTAAAATTATATTATTTTAATTTTTTTTTTCGTCCCTGGAGTATCCACCGTTGATAGTAGTAATTAATCTTCTCGCTACGTTGGAGGCACCTCAAACGGTGTGATAGCTGTAGGGGTAGCAAAAAAAACTAAACTGAACTGAACTGAACTGGTGATGAACTGAACTGTACTATAAAAAACTGAGCTCTTTGTAAAAAAACTGAACTGAACTGTTTAAAAAAAACTGAACTGAACTGAACTGTTGAAAAGTTAACTATACTGAACTATAAAACTGAACTGAATTATAAATGGATTAACTCGATAGTCTAATAACCAAAACTTTAAAAAAAAAGTGATAAAAAAATTGTATCAATTTTATCGAACCTAACGGATTAATTGAGCTATGTTGGATTACTTATTTTTACGCTTAAAATCACTGAGTTTGTTTGACTTAATTTTATATTTTTTTTCTTTGAAAAATTTAAATAAAATGGAAAATAAAGTAAAGTTGGCAAACGTGTCCTATTTTGATAGATCAATGAGTCAAAATTGTTCAATTCAAAATATCATAATAGTTCAGTGCAATTTAAATTGCAGTTCAGTTCAAGTTTTTATAATATAGTTAAATTCAGTTCAATGACACAAAAAAATAGTTCAGTTCGTCTGAACTAATATTAAGTTCAGTATAGTTTTTATAAGTTCAATTCAGTTCAGTTCATTTTGCCCACTCCTAGATAGCTGACCCCAAGATTTAACGCGGCTGCATATACAAGGCAGGATTCGAACCCCTGACCTTGCTTAAGCGTGGATCAACCCCTCTTGCTGAATCACACGCTTGGGATTTATATTATTTCAATGTTTGATGATGGTTATAATCAATTACAATAAAAAAATAAATATGGATTTTGTTGATGAAAGATTTTAAGATGCTTATTTTATATACCAGGAGGGTTTAAATAACACCGATGTAACTTTTACTTAGTATTATACTGTTCAATAATTTTATATTATATGTGAATTTTATAAATCTAACTGTTAAATTGAAAGTTCTTTACTTTTATATTTTATATACAAAATTTTATATTAATCCAAGATGATTTGATACTTCATTCTTATAAAACAAAATTGACATAATATATAAATTTCAAAATATAATAAAATATGAACATTTTAATTACCTTCAAGTTATTGTTCAATTTTAACAAAATTTGATATAAATATAAAAAGTGATATGAACTTTCAATCTAACGGTTGAATTTATAAAATTTGCATTTAATATAAAGTTATTGAACGATGTAATACTTAATAAAAGTTACATCAGTATCATTTAAACTCTTCTCTTTATATATATATATATATATATAACAAAACAATTAGTTTTTATGTAGTAAATCAGATAAAGAAAGAAATAAAAAATTGTTATAAAAAATCATAAACTTTAAACTTTCAGCTTCTTAAAAATAATTTATATTTTAAAAAAATTGAAAATTTAGGTTATTATTCCAAACATACAACTTATTTTGTAAATATTTTTCTTCCTAAAAAGAATTTGAAACCGAAAATAGTAATATTACTCAAACATGCTCTAAGTTCTTAATATCATTTTGGTTAAAAATATATATCAATATTATTATTTTAATAATACATTTTTTTTTATTTTGGTTTAACTTTTAAATATGTATTTAACAATTTTTTAGTTTCACACACTAATATGACAATGTTGCAACATCTCTCAAATTCAAAGACCAATTTAATTATTTACTCTTTAAAAATGAGATTGGTTTTTTTGTTTTGTTTTTTTATCCGTCAAAAAATAAAAAGTAAATTACATTATTTTCTTCTACGACATATTCTAATATATGACATAAAACATATTTTTTAAAAATTTTATTAAAATTTTGTTAACTTATGTTAAAAAAAAGTTAAGGTTAAATAAATTTTCAATCCTCCAACTTTTTAAGAATTCGATTTTTAATGTCTCTCAAATGTTTTTGTCAATTTGAAGTCTTCCATTAATTTTTTATCACATAAATTAGTTCTTATAGTTAAGTTTTTTATATTAATTGATAATGTATGCTAATAAATCATGACTGACTCAACTATTGATGTTCACATGATTATCTACTAGATATCAAATCATTTGACTCATAATTTTTCTATCTACTCATGGTTAGACATGATTTTTTTGAAAATAAAAGACGTTATTAAAATAAATCTTCATTCATATAACCATGATTGAATATTAAAATTACACTTGTCATATGATTTGACATTTAATAAACAGTCCTGCAAAATATTAATAGTTGAATCAGTCATAATTTATTAAGATACATCATTACTTGGCAAACAAGAGTAAATTTCAAGGACTAATTTATGTAACAGAAAATTAATGGAAGACTAAAAATTGACAAATTTTTTTAAGAAGGACTAATAGAATTCTTAAATATTAAGGGACTAAAAACTTATGTAACCCATAATGTTATAACCAAAACATCTTTTATATATACTAACATCTCAAAGTTGTAAATATTACATTACTCCTCCTTTTGTATTAAAACAAACAATTTCCTCCTCAACAAATACATTACACTTGAACAATTTATTTATTGTTTTACATATTCAATTATTATTTTAATAATTATTATGAATTTTGTCAAAATTAATTATATGTTTAAAATAATTTTTAATTATGATTTTTACAAAATATTTTCAAAGTTATCAAAATAAAAATAATATATATACAATGACAAATCCAAAAATTTTAAGAAGTGAAAACATAACTCATTCATAAACTTGTAACATTAAACATGTAACTTCACATTTATTTTAAAATATAAATATGCATCATAATTATTCCAATTTTATATTTTAAAAATATTGAATATTTCTTTTCATTCTTAACACTTTTAAAAATACATCTCTCTACATAAGCAACTAAATAACCATTTATCTCTCACATCAAAATTTTAACATTTTTAAGGTCGGCCTAATAATCATAAAGACCTAAAATAAAATTTGAGAAAAATTTATATATTTAAAATAAAAGATCTATATAGGTTGAGCCTTTCTTACCATTATATGTGGCCTCTTTTGGTTTACAAGATCTAATAGTAAATAATTTAGTTAGTAGACCTAAAACTTGATCTTTACTAGCTTTAGTCTTTAGTCACTCTTGAAAATTCTTTACTAATTTAACTTAATATTTATTTTTTTGTAAAGATAGAAAAGATTATAAAAATAATCTTATTTAGAATTGAACCTAGGTCCCATGCTTTTAATTACATCAATCATTCCTCATCCAATTACTAGGCTAATAACAATTAATAAAATATATACTAAAACAATTAAAAATTAATGTTGACATTTTTTACAAAATTAAAACACGTAGGTAATGACACTTAGTTTTTAACAATTTTTTCGTTATACTTAAGTTTTAGCATAATAATTGAAAAAAAATAATTACAATATGTGTATATAATAATAATTAAACACCAAAATATTAGTGGGAGCATTTGTACCACAATTTTCAACGTGAATATGTCGCTGTATATATAAGTACATGAGATCAAATACAAATATTATAACTAATGTAATATTTTTATAAATGTTTAAATATTTATATATATATATATATATTGTTCTTACCGGGAATCCGATGTAGAGATGGTCCGCTGGGTAAGATCGGTGAGCCTCCTTCGCTTGTATGTTGGTTGCTCCAAGATGGGGTGGTACCTGCAAAAGAGACTCTGATGCCAAAGTTAGTGTTTGTGGGAGTATCAGTCTCGTATAAGTAATGCACGTACCTTTGTGTGGATTAGGGTTTCGTTGGGCCTTGGGTCTGAGATCAGTTATGACCTAATTAGATAGCGGACCTCGTCTTGGCCGAGGTCTCCCAGCGCGTGTCCGAGGTCGTCCTGCGCTATGATGCTGAGTTTGAGCTCGGCTTAGCGGTACGGATAGTACACTAGCCCCCCGAGCTTCGAAGACCGTAGGTCGAGGAGTTAAGGCCGAGCTCACTCTCCTATAAGCACACCCCCTTTTAAAAAAAATATATATATAAAATGTCTAAATTACCTTTAAAAAAAAAAATTCCTAAATTTACACCCCTCCTTCCTCGCACCCCCTTTCCCGCA